GTGCCTTCTATCTAGTTCCTAGTCTATTCTTAGTTTATTCTAGAAAGTTTGACGATAATCCTATTGGATTTAAATTTCAAAATAAAAGTTGAACTTTTTGGGCGCAAGAATCATTGTCCTTCAATTACGCGATCAGAGTGTGGTCCCCTCACAACCCTTCTCAAGGTTGGCTTGATCATCAATATTCATGTCTTTGAATAAATCCAACAACTGACCTATAATTTCATGTGAGCTTCGAAATCAAGAGAGGAAAATGTATTCTTGAAGATCACAGACCTTCTATTCAGTGCGGATGTTAAAATCATTTACCTTAATGTCGAAGATCATCCTTTAGCATTAATCATCACACCAGGTAATTCCTGAATCTAATTCTCAGAGACAAGAAATATCAATTGACAATCTTCTTACACATGCATGACTATGGATTCTGTTAACGACAGGCATATTAGTTCTGGCACCAGCCATGGTTGGCACTTGGATATAGTTTGGATTCGCAAGGAGATGATGATGAGACACCGGGGAAACATTTTCGAGCAAAATGGTGGCAAGGTGTTGATGAAGAAATATCCGCTAACAAGGTATCTGCTCCAAAACAAGTAGAAGTATATACAACAGATGACATCAGCATGGCCTCAAACTACTACAGAAACAAAATGGTGAAGAAATTGGGCCTGTATTTGTTACCGAGGAAGACTAGCAATAGCACAGAGAAAGGTGTTGATCATGAAGATTCCATTTCCACCTGTTCCCAAATCTCAGACCGACAAGTTTGTTCATAAGTTGATCTTCCTTTCCAAACCCCATATGAATTTGGTGAAAAATGACAGGGTTTTGCTTGGAAACATGATCCTCATTCCCAGCATATGAAAACATATTCTTCGATGGCTCTAATGAGGCCAACTTATTTTATGTTGTGGCCTCTAATCTGATTCCTCAAGAGATCATCAGCTGAGCAGGATGAGATTTTACATTCAGGCCAATTAAACCAGAAAAGCGACGTGTTCAGCACTGGAAGTGTTTCGGCTTAACTGCTGCCTCAATGGAAGGTAACTGACCCTGCAAATGATGACAGTAACAGTAATGCATGTTGAGCAGTTCCAACAAGCAGCAGATCTCTATGCTGTCTGGAAGATGCTTTAGTGAGAATCAAGAGGAAAGACCGGCCTAGTATGCAGGAAGTCGAGCAAACCTGAGAAAGTTGATGCACCTGAACCTGAACCTGAGATGATAGGGAACAAAAATCCCACCATTATATTACTGCATTCACAATAATTTGACATAGGAAACCTCTCTGTTGAAAGACGCAGACATTTCCCTTTTAGAATCCTATGAATAGTAGAAGATTGCCTTTTGAGTCTTTAGGCTTCTTCTCTTTCTCATCATCAATATTCATCTGACATGGGAAAGCATATTGGATTGTTCCACTGAGCAAGTATGCAGATTCAGCCAGTCAGATGTCCCTTGGAGTTGTCTAGAATCTCTCTGATCAACTGACAAAAACAAAATGTAGATAATCTGAAGAGCTAATGAAGATACCAAGACTACTTTTTTGTGTACAAAAACAGAAGTACTTTCTTGTAAACTAAACTGCATGATTTCAAATGCATTCTGGTATTACTACAGTAATGTCGATAGGATCTGGTGCCTTGCTCCAGGTGGTGATTCCTTATGCATTATCTCTTTTCTGGTGGTAGCCAGTGTTCTTATTAATGGACATCTGAACGATCACCTTGGAGCTGAGTTTTGGATCAGGCAAAAATTCTATATAGTGCATTAATTTGCACTTTGATGGATGACGAGGCGAACACACATGTTTAACATGTATATAACGGTAGTTGCTGCATAATACTGTCAACTTCTTTATATCTCAATATTTTTCTTTTTAGCCCTGTCACCTGCAGAAAGAATATGACAAACATGTCAAGATGGAAAATGGGATCCATAGAAGAATAAAGTTTAGTAGCAGCATATCAGAAGCCATCAGTTTCTTTTGCCATGAACTTACTTGATTATATGAGAGGCCATTGTTGGCCTTTAAGCAATACAAGAGAGAGAATCTTGTATCTAATAACATCATAGATAAAAAAGAGTGAAGGAGGCCACAAAAGGAGAGAGAGAGAGAGGACAGACATAAACAATGGCTAACACAAGTGGGCAAAATCACTGCAGTTATAAGACTCATAACTGCAACTGCAAAAATAAATGACAGTTCTATTCTATAGAGTCAATATGAAGACTAAGCAAATTCAAAAAAGCATGCAGGGAGAACCTTCTTGCACAGATTATTTTTTCCGGTAAGAAATCACAGCGAATACAGTATGTATGAAAGGGAGCAGAAGCAGTATAAAAGCAGTAAGGAAAGAAACTAACCGTAGACTATTGAAGTAAGCCCTCAATTTAGCCATCCTCATGTTGAGTTGAATCCTGCAATGTCGATTCACACTTTCAAAACCACCAGTGTAGGAGAAAAGTGATGATCTCAGCACATTCTTTCCCAATCTATTGAACATTCGATAACCACTTTAACATCACCACATTACCACAATGACACAACATTTCAGTGTCTTTGGCATAATTAACAAGGCAATGCATAAAGTAGGCGTAGCCTGTCACATACTTTGGATGATCATTGGGAATACAGTGTTCATAAGTGAGCAAATTTTCTTGGAAGGGCTTCAGTTTTATCTGTGCTACAATCAACTGTGGGAGTTTGAGAATTCCATCATTGAATGTGACATCCGGTAGTGTGATTCCTCCACACCCTCTGGACCAAGTCTATGTCTCTTTCAGCTGCGAGGTTGAGTTAAGGTGGTGCACTGAGCTCCTCATGTTTGATAAATACCACAGTTGCAAATGAAAAGAAACTCTGATAAACAGGCCTAAGAAATGGTCAGCATTCTGTATATCAAGAATTTGGATCAACTTTTGAAACATCAAGCCATGGAAGCACCTAATGGAGGAACAAGGTAACTTAAGATGTCATCTGATCTTCCATCTTTGTCAGGTCAAACAGATGATTCAAGAGAAAGAAAGGGAGCTGGTTCTCAAATAGCATCAGATTGTGTCTGGAGTGTAGACTGTAGAGAGTCTCTGATCAGATTTGAAAAATCAGGTCATTTTCATCTCTCAGCTTGTCAAAGCAGAACATCCTTATCAGCTACATAACAAAGCATCCATCAAATAGCAATACCTCCACAAACTCATCTTGATTGAGATGGAGGGGATTTTTTGTAACAAAGAAAGGTTTTTTCTTTCAATTCTCTTACTTCCATCACATGTTTGCCAACGCTCAATTCTCATCTTTGCATCAGTTGTTATAGATACTTCACTTTGTGCCGCTCCATGTCCTTAACAAGATCTTTACCATGATGAATCGAAACAACAGCCATCATTTCTGGTGCATATCCTACTTCATTCACTTGGCGCAACTGATCATCCACTGTAAATATGGCGGGCTTTAATTGACTGGAACTAGACAGTTGCTTAAGCATACATTCGATGTGTATGGTCTTGCTGCTGACATCTTGTGTATCTCACAGAATCTGTCAAGAAAGCACAAAGGGATGACTGCACAACACCATACAGTGAGACGTGAAATCTCTAGTTTGTCAACAAATACATATATAAACAAGTGATATACATGAAACACTCTGATAACAAATATTTCTATATTTCTTTTCCTGCGGATGTAACATTACATACGGAGCTAGAATAATGTTTCAAAATATATTGCCACACCTCTATTTTTGTAGCCAAAGCAGTTTTCTGCTCATGTTCTTAATGAACTTCCTCAGCTACAAATTTCACAAAGCATGTTCTTGTGGGTTTGACATGAGTTCTTTGTTTAAACTTTGACATGACTTCCATAACTTAATCAGTGTTTAGCCACATAATGCATGCTGGATTTGGTGCCTTTAACAACATTGTTGGATTTGTAACAGCAACAGATAAAACAAAGACAACAAATGTTATCAAAGCTGAGTTGATTTCAAAAACGAATTTCATGAGTTAAATTTTATCATATGAAAAACATCGCTGCACTTCCATAATTCATTCAGACAAAAGAACAAACAGCTGACACACATTGGAAATGATGTCACTTGAAAATCTCTAACAATTCAAGATCAATAATATTGAGACATGAAAGGGGAGCATAAGTACAAATTTTGAGTCAGAGAGCAGCAGAAGAATGCAGGTAAAATGAGACCATGCAAGCATAAATGAATGAATTACCATAATTATAGCAGCAGGCATCGCTGAGCTCCAATGGCTGCATCAACCTTTGTTTCTTGTCTTAGCAGCTAACATATATGCGCATTTCTGCAAGAATGAATAAATACAACATCCAAGAATTTCTGATGAATTGAGAAGCCAACCGCCCAGAAATTTAATTCAAGGACTCCTCTGCAAAAAGGTCTTTCATGCTTCTTATGGGTGCACCATTCAAATGTCGTACCTTGCAGGCAGAGGGGTGACATGTTTCCTAACATGCTGCAGCACAAAACTGCACCCTAACATTAAGGAAAGGCGTAATTTTTGTTTAAGTCAATCAAAAAGAGAGACAAATATCCAAGTTTTTGTTGCATTTCTACTTTTTCCCTAGGTGATGATGAGAAGATTTCATCGTTTAAGTCAACCAAAAAGAGAAGGGCAGCAGAGAAAACTAAAAGACCTGGCTGGAAGGCTACTTGGAGATGAGTCTACAATACAAGCTAATAACCAAACAAACCTGACATGGGTAAGTAATCCCATCTTCACATGCAACGAATAGCAATCTAGTCTAATAACATTATCAGCTTCCTTCCATGATTACTAAGCTAACAAATGAACAAAAAACACTTACACCATTATGCAAGCCATAAAACATTCAAAACAATTTCTAATCTACAATTTGATGCATTAAGGTAATTAGGTCATTTTAAAACTGAAAATGTCTTACAGATGTGTCTTACGTATTCATAGGAAGCGGGTGAAAAATTGATTGGTGAAAAAGGCCTAACTTGATGAAAGAGTATATTGCATAGAACATTCGCCGTCATTGGTGATTATATATTATAGTATAAACTAGTTAAAAGATCACCAAAGTTTACCCATTCTCTCCACCATATCTCTACTACTAGGAGTAATCTGACTATCCTGCAGCACTTTCTGCTTTGGCCTAAACAGCCCTGATGATACAATGAAGTTTTACCAGGCTGTCATCATAACATACAAATGTGGCAGCCATGTTGGAGCAACCATATCCTACATTTTTGTTTATTGGTCTTCAGAAGATGGAAGAGACGGCACAATCTGCAGCAGTCCTAAAACCAGTTTGAAATGTTGAAGTCCCTGAGCTTGCTAAGATGTTTTTCTAGATCTGCCCTAGTTTTGCCCCACTCCTCCTCCTCTATTACGGTAGTTGGGTCATCTTGCTCCCCCTGCACATATGAAAAATGGCGAAAGTTGGATGTGAGCCAATGCATGCAATGAAGGGCATAGTAACAAGTAGTTTCTGCATAATATAATTACTGAGGAGATTATTTTGAAGGAGTCCCCGTTGTCACGAACAACAAGCAAATCTTCCTTTCTATCTCGATCTTTCCCTTCAGGAACTGTCACCTGCAGAAAGGAAATGACAAGCATTTGAAAGGTATATCATCAATCGCAAGACAATAGTTTAGCAGCATATCCCTAGAGAACATTTTGTTGCCTTCTGTTTGTTTATTTATTTCTCGGAGTAATGCCATATGAAAGCTATTGTTGACCTTTAAGCAGATTTAACATAGAACCTTATTTATTTAACATAGTGAGGAAGGCCAGAAGCGTAATAAACAAACTTTATGGGTGTTATTGTTTGGGGGATTTTCCCCAATTTCCACTATTCATCAAATTTTTTCCCTTCAAAAACATAAAATCAAACTGCACAATGTTAAGAGATAAATATTAGATCCAATTATTCGAGATTAACAAAACTTAACCACACTTTGCTTGCACAAGTTAGAGGGATCCAACTGTTGAATCATGCTCATTACTCAAAACACAAATTGGCAAAAGTTTTATCAACATGGAAACCCATCTAGTGAAGTGTGTGTTACAACAAAAAGTTAAATTAAATGAATCGCAAATTCATATCACTACTCAAATTGAATAAATCAGTGCGGACAATAGCAATTGCAAGGCAAGTATGAGAACGAGAGAACTACCACAACTTTTGCCCTCGTAATTGACTTTGTTCTTGAATCTATAACATAGATCTCCTCAAAATCCAAAGCAAATTCAGGATCACCCAACCGACGGTTCCTGTAGTGTTTTGTCAAAAATATCTGCGGAAAAGTGAAATAATATCAAATTATTAGAACAAGGATCCCACTAAGATTGAGCAATTTCAAGCAAAGACATGTACTTGTAAACTTATTACATTGCTCACTTGAGTGAATAAATCCAAAGAATTATCCAACACCGCCAACAAGTTTGAACAAGGGCAATATCACTTATTATATGAAATGCCCAACGTCATGCCAGAGCAAATATAACATACAAACTTCACAAAGAATCCTGATTTCAAATCCAAACAACTTATATAGATTAAACTTCCAGCACATAATTCATAAACAATAGCAGAGAAACCAATCTCACAACTAGTGATGACAGAGAATTTCAATTTATAAGTAAACACTCATTAGAAGCATCAGATGTTTAGTTCATACCTTCAGGATTTCCTTCTCAGATTTATACAGGGGGTCTCTTGGTGCATCAATTGGTGGCTCAGTGACGTTGTAGCGCCCATAATCAGTCTGCGCACAGCGGATATACTGCCATTCCAATAGAAGTGTAGGAGTTCAATTATAGTTGTGCTGTCAAACAAAGAATACTACGTCTTTGTGTAATGTCGAATGCAAATTCTAGGAAAGGTCCAATAGTCAAGCTAAAAAATGGTTTAATACCAGAATTTTTATCAAGAAATATTAATCTGAAGCACAACCAGGGATAAATATATCTACCTTTTGAGGCATCGGTGCAAGAATCTTTGGAATTGAATATACATCAGTGTCCGGGGGAGTAACGTACATCTACATGCAAGAGCATCAACAATCAATTAACAGCAACTCATAACACAACACAAGCATCACGACTTAAAAACCTAGAGCAATTTGTACTATTATCACATCCTCCGGAGTAACAAGAGTTCGAAAATCCATCCACATTGATGAATCTAAGCTGATAATCACAGGTAACTCTGCATAATGCCAAGAACCGTCATAACCCTAATAGCACATATGAAAACATGAGAGATATACTTGACATATAACCACAAGTTTCACCATCATCCAAACGAAGATAAAAACAACATTGCACAAACAACAGCGTTATAATACATGGAAGAACTGAGATACCAGAACATTATACATCGAGGTTCATAAGCAAGCATGCATCTACCAACGGCTAAGAAAGTACCGGGACAGAGAAAGCCCCACCTCGCGAAAATCATACACGTCGTTTTCTGGGTCAGGCGGCTTCCGAATGAAAAAATCACAATCCATAAGACAAATTTTATGAAACTCTTCTTCATTTATTCTATAATCAACGGTTTTCTCAGGATCCCAACCCTGAGTGTACACGAAACTCTTACTATCCACCATCTCAATATCGTCCCCTCCACCTTGCCCCACTGCGGAGTCGTAATCGACATCGAAGTCCTTCTTATTGTCGGCCTCCTCAACGTCGTCTTCGTCCATTTCATAGTCGTCAGGGCCTACTTCATCTGCGTCCCCATCGTCCGCCCATGCTCGGAAGTCTAGCCTCGGTGCTACGGGCTGCATCAAGCTCGGAGGCTTGAGAATACTTGGTTTCGGAAACGTAATCGGTTGGATTCTTGAGCGATTTACAGGAATAATGGGCGTCAAGAGCAGCGTGGCTGCGTACATGGCGGCGTTCCGACGGCCGGCGGGACCGGATGTTAGGCTATCCAAGCAGAGGAGGATGGGATAATGAGACCATCTAAACCCACAGTATAGACTTACCCATTCGGTTCCGAACCGCCAGTTCGACCCGGCGGTTCAAACCGAAACCGTCGCTCCGAACGGTTCGATTTTGGATTGTGATTTTTCCATTTGTGATTTTCCCAAACCGAGTGAACCGGTTCGATTTTTTATTTCTTTTTTTTGTGTAAAAACCAATTTTAGTTCCAATCAAACCTATTTCTTTTTTTTTTTTGGTCTCATTCAAAAAAATTATCAAAATTAATTCTATACAAAAAAATAAATTATCATTTTTGGTCCATGTTGGAAATTTTGGTCGTTTGAGATCTAACCTGTCAAGTTCATTGATAAATAATTAGTTGGTCTACTCCGTAGCCCGACCCACCGGATCGGTCCAACCCTTTAATCCTAAACCCATATATCCCAAACAGATTTAGTTAAGGGTTTGTAAGGTAGTTGATTTTGGATATAACCGAGTGTATATCTAATTAGATATAAAATGTGAGATTGGGGGTTTTAGATGGGAGTCATTTGAGAGAGTAAGAGAGAGAGGGAGAGAAACCGCAAGTATTCTGATGACTCCAAATATGAGCATATTTTTCGTTTGACAAAACTATGTATTACTTGAATTTTTGTATAAAAACTATCACCATATTTGATTTATGGCATACTTTATTGATCTGTCTCGTTTGGCATGATCCAGAGTTGGTTTGTTGAGATTATTAATAATTTTTTGTCCTTTTAAGCGGTGATATGAGTTCAAAAAAGCTAAGGCATATAAGATAAGCGATAGTCATTTCCTTTCACAAGCGACGACTCCATCGCTCAGAAAAGCTAAGGCAGGAGAGGCAAGCGAAAGCTTCTACCGTTCGCAAGCGATAGCCACCTCCGCTTGCAAGCGACGCTCCATCGCTCAGGCCAGCGACTAGACATCCACCGCAGCGAAGCGATGGCAACTCTGTGCAAATATCGCCTTAGGGTGTGTTTGTTTGGGGGTTTGGATTTTGAGTTGAGATTTGAATAGTAAAAATTTTGAATTTGAATAGTTGTATGATGTGATATAAATAGGTGTTGATGTGATGTTTTGAATGTAAAATTGATTTTTAGTATAATATAAAAAATAAAAAATAGGTATTTGATTTGATGTTTTTAGGAGGGAAAAATTGGATGAATAGTGGAAATCTAATCCAATCCCTCAAACAAACACACCCTCGGTACAACCATTCCACTACCAGCCAGCACAGACAAACCCGCTCAGTTGCGCTGATGCCCTCCAGTCATCCGGCAAGCGAGGAAGATCTGCGCCCTTACAAGCCCAAGCAAGCGAAGCACCATGGGAGTTATGGCCATGCTTCAATAGAATAACCGCCACCAACTGCCTAACTACCTAGCAATTGGAACTACTTTGTAACTACTTGCAACTGCTACTTCCACCAACTATAAATAGGGTCAGATATCTGTATGTAAAATATACTTCGAGAGGAGTATACTAGTACTTCTTTTTAGCGCATTCTAGCTGTCTTCCTGTCTCCCGAGAGTTCCAACCCTGTAAGGGAGTTCTCAGCATGAATGGCTAGGGGAGTTGAGATTTCTCTTCTCCCTTGGTCACCACTTTACTGTTTACTTAGTTTAGTTTATCGTTTTAATTACAGTTTTTGTAGAATTAGAAGTTCCTACTTTGGTAGTAAGTAATGAAATATCATTTATTCTTCGTCATCACTTCTTCCATACTTTTCACATTTATATAAACCCTAGTTGTAAAGAATTTCAGTTCTTTGAGAAAGAACGCAGAAAGATTGATTATTCTAGCCTTGTCTTTTTGTCACAAACAGATTCAAGGTAGTTTAATGTAATTAAGTACGCGGGAGCCTTGTCGACCTGCTTAATTACTGGTCTGAATTCAATTTCGATTAAAAAGATGTAACATAAGGGTAAAGTCACTAATGAGACAGATTTTCGGAATAATTAATGGGACATAGGCGGTGGTCTATTGGGTTGTAGAAGTTCCTAGTGACAGTAGGGTTTCTTTCTTATAATATTTTGATTTTGGGCGTCATTAAAGTCTTATTATAAATCCCTTAAGGTCAAGTACCAGCGATAAAATTTTTTTATAATATGGTTTATATATTTACATTACTCTCTCCCACAGCTTTCGTATTATACATATATGCTCCGATTAAACACAAGCACCATCCGCTCATTTCCTCCAGAAAAAACCTGGTCATTGAGTAACGTACAGTTCAGACACATCACCTCTTCATCACTCTCTACCGCTCAATTTATATAAATATATGTTGTGTCATCCACTCATGTCCCTCTCAGTCACCCATCGTTGACATCTCCCCCGCTCACCACCGCTCCACTCACTGTCGCTCATTTTTACCGTTTTCAAACTCGCTTCTAAGCGGGTCACCTTCTTACTGCTTTTTTCGCCGTTTTCACTAGATCAAAATTTGATTTAATTTTGCGACTTAAAATCCTTGTATTCGACCTGGAAACTCACCAGTTAAAGAGTATAAATAATTATGATAAACGATTCAGGGTCTACGATCACAAACTTTTGTTATATCTGATCGCTCACTATAATTCCTTACATCTTAACCTTCGAACAAAATTCCCTGTATTTTAACATATATCAAAATCTTGTTGTCATCTTCGGTGAGAGGTTCTCCGGTGAGTGATTCCGGTGATAGTCAAACATTTTGTATGTGCCAATTCCGGTGAGTGTCGAAGCTTAGAGTGACGAGCCGACCTCCACATTGAGGGATGATTACCTCGGGTCATTCATGTGCCATGGACTGAGCTGAAATCCTACCGTCCCTCTCGCCGGTGAAATCGAGAAAGATCGGAGATGATGACTGCCGGAGTTCACCGCTGCTGTCCCGTTGTTTGTCGGTGTAAATTTGAAGGAGTCGTTGGTCGGAGCCACAGCTGGGTCGCCGCCTGGGTGATGCCGGAGCAAAGTTTCTGTCCGCCGCCGACCGCTGCTGCTGGTCGTGGGATGATGGTTTCTGTTCGTCGTTGTCAATCCGTCAACGGAAATAATTTCTTCTCAATTCCAAAGATAGTCACGAACAGGGAGTGCTTTAATTGCTCTTTAATTAACGTCTGTTTGCTTTGGTTATTTGATTTCAATTTCAGTATTGTTTGAGACTTATTAATATATGTTAATTCATTTTGATTTCAATTTAATTTAATTTGGGTTTATTCAAATTTTAATTTCGCTACTAATTAATTTGTATTTTGTATACGAAATTTGTTCGATAAATCTAAATATTCGAAAATAAATTTCAACGAAATAAGTTGAAATGACCATAACGGAAGCGTGTTAATTCAATTAAGCAATATATTATTATATTTTATACAACACAGGCGTATTAAATTTTAACAAAGCCCTATTCAAATTCAAGCAACAATTACAAATTCAAATTGGCTATGGGTTGTAATAATTGTGTGGGCCCACACTATTATGATTATATTTAATATTTATCTATAATATTTATTTTTTAAAATTAATATATTTAATTATATATACATTAAATTTATATATTTAATAACATTTAAAATTAAAATTTGTGGTAAGCCCGTGTTATCCACAATAGTTTTAAAAAACATCAATTATATTGTTTGTATTTTGCGTTATTGTTTTTTATTAAAAATATTTTTATATTTATATAATTTATTTCATAAAATCACTGAATTTGTATTATAAGTGATTAATAGAAATATTTTTATTTTTATTTATATATTACATATTAATATAATAATTAATATTTAAATATTAATATTTCTCTTCTTGTAAGATAAAGGCAATATTAATTTTGTATATAAATTTATATTTAAATTTTAAATTAATATTTCACTGTATCAAATCACTTTATATACTTTCTTATACTAATTTGTTAAAAATTATTTTATTCATTTTCTTTAGCAACGTTAAACTTAGAAAAATATTCTTAAAATGTCATTATCAATATATAGCGAATTTACTACTATACTTTTTTTAACAGCATAATTTTATTAATATTAAAAAATCTCGATAAATAAACAAACTAATAGATATATATATATATATATCCAATAGAGTGACTATAAATTTTTTTAATAATCACAATAGTTATAAAATTACTAATTTAACAAATATTATGCAAAAAACAAAATATATATAATTTGTGTAATTTTTAAATATAATTTTTACTAAGAATAGTTGCAAGTGATCTAAAATAATAATAGTATTAAAAATATAATTTCAATATTTATATTTGATTATTGAAAAAAAATATATATATAATGATATTTAAGGGAAAATAATTTAGTCCCTCCGTCCCAATACAATAGTCTTGTTTACCATTTTTGTCCATCTTAAAACAATAGTATCATTTTCATAAATAACCATATCACTGTAAAACTATTCATACTTTTTCATTATTATTATACCATTGTCATTTACTCTTACTTTTTACCAACTACCAATATAATATCAGTATTCTTCAAATTTCGTGCCCAACATAATAAAACTATACTTTTTTGGATGAAGAGAGTATTATATAGAAGTATTATATTAATATTTTTATTTATTCTCATTATATAGAAAATTTATAAAAACTTTAATTTTTTAATGAATTATTAAAAATCCATGAATTTTTATCTAAGCGTATAATATGTAGTAGTATGTTTGTTTTGATTTGTGATACACAATAATTTCAAGTTAAAACAACATAATTTATTTTATTTTAATTTTATTTTTATGTTATCCGTGTTTAATTCGCAATTTTATTTTGTTTTATTATTATTATTATTTTTTAAAATATTATAACTGTAATACTCCAATTTTGGAGTATATAAAATAATATTATTATAACAAATAAATATTTTTATAATATTTTGAAATCAAGAAATTAATACTTTGGAATAAATTTTATTCCTATTTTATATATTGATTATGATTGAAAAAACTGTTGAACGGATAAATATAGATAAACATAAATATAAT